TGCGCTCGGATGGCCTCCCTCCTGCCCCAGGCGGCCGCTCCCACCGCCTCGCCCCGCCCCATGCCAGGACCCGTTCCCCAGCCGCGAGAAAAGGAGTCTGGGGTCCTCAGGGCGGGGGCCGCGCTATGGGAGCTCCAGACCTCGTCTCCCGAACCTCAGTCTTACCCTCCAGGCGGTGGGCGGCTCATCAGCGGGGACCCATCTTCTCTGTGCTTCCTCCTCTCTCCAGGGAAGCCGGACCCTCCTCCTGGCCACTAAGAAGTGGCTTAAGGCCTTTGACCTCATCGCTGTTATGGACGCTACGGTAGGGAGGTGTGGCCAGCTTCCCGCCCTGAAGCGGTGGGCCCCCTCTTGGAGGGTGACTGATAAAACTCCAGCCTTGAGCCTGGCTCCTGCCTTCCCTTGGGCAGGCCTCAGTTTACTCAAAGGTAAATGTCTCTCTGCGGTTTTGTTAGGACTAAGTTCATTAATTCCTTTCTTCGTTCAACAAATAACTATCAAGCACCTACTTCAGGCAGCCACAGTGGGTCATGCAAGCTGTGCACTGCACAAGGGTGCCTCACCCAGGCCAGTCTGTTAACTCATCAAGGCTGCACCTTCTCTAAGGAAGGGTGTTTTGGGTTTTTTTGTTTTTTGTTTTATTTTGCTGTGTGGTGGTCGCTACTCTGACTGGGGACCTAAAATAGCTCACTGATGAGTGAACTAATGCAGTAACAGTACTCACTGAGCACCTACTATGTGCCAGGCACCATTCTAAATTCTTTGGCTTCATCTAATGTCAGTATAAGTTCTGGGCAGTGAGGAAAACACCAGTAAGTAGTGCCTGGGATGGCAACTCAGCATGAGTTATATGCAGGAGCTACCAAAGATACACATTCCACCCCCAGCCTGTGGCCAGGCCTCCAGAGGAAGCTGGCAGTACTGGAGGGCTGCCGGGGCAAGATGTCTGCAGCTCGTCAAGGGTTCTGTCCCATGACCCTCATTCTGTGAAGGTCTGGCTCCTGAAATGTCAACCCCTCTCTGTACTTCGGACAGAGCCACGCAAGTTGCACCTTCTGCAGTTCAGGGGCAGGACCTCCCACAAAGTCTGCCTTTTCCCCCAGAAAGCACAGAGCACAGGTTGGGCTGGGGACACCTTTTATTTGGCCACATGCAGCAGGGGTTGGATAAGAGCATTGCTGTCCTTCTAGTAGGAGGAAGAGGCAGGAACGAAGTCAGGTAGGGTGGGGAGGTCCTGGGAACGGCAGTTCCAAGGGTAGGGTGGGGGCTTGGAATGCTCTCCTGGGAGCCTGGCCTAGGCCTGGAGATGGACAGGTGGTCCTTGAAGATTCTCCGTCCCACTCATCCAGGGTTCACACATCCTAGCTCTCAGGGCCCAATCCTGCCCCCCACCTGCCTGGGTTACTGTGTGCAGGATTGTAGGAGGGTCTTTCGGAGAGCCCTGCCTCCAGTAACCATGTGGCTTCTGGGGCTTCATTTGAGTGAAGACCATCCAGACTTGGCCAGGACCCCACCCCACCCTGGGCCTGCCTATCTCAGACCAGGCCTGAGCCTCTGGGCCAAAGCCACCTCTCTTGAGCAGGTAGGCAGAGCAAAAGAGCTCAAGAAAGGAAGAGAATGGGGCAGAGGACAGGCCAGCAGGGCCCTCCTTCCACACCCAGATTTGTCTGAGCTACACGTCACCTCCCAGTATCTGGACTACGTGGGGCAGCCACAGGCTTGCCAGGTGTCCTGACTATCTCTGCTCTGAGGGCCCTCAAAGAAGACAAGGAGAAAGGGTCCAGGAGGGGAAGGTAGAAACACAGATCTAGGATGACAGCAGAGCTCGGAGACCCACCCTCAGAGGAGTCTGGGGGAGGAGACTGGGGAACACCCTGCACCTCCCTAACTTCAGGGGCCCCATCATTCAGGTTGAGACCCTAGGCGGACACCTAGTTACCCATAACAGGTGAAGGCTGCACAAACTAAGAGGCTCCACAAAGAGGCAACTAGGGGACAAGGATGAACCAGGGAGCCTGGCCTCCACCTCCCCTTCCCAAGCCCAGCCCTTCTCTGACAGCAGTTTACCAGTTGGGGTTGGGTGGCTGGGGGCTCGGGGGTGTCATGGCAGCGGGGGCCCGATGGTGATGCTGCTGTTGGTGACCCTCGGGCCGTACCAGCCGGCCCAGTAGTGAGTGTCCACGCCGCCGTGCTGAAACCAGATGTAGCGGACGCCGGGCGGATAGTTGGAGAACGTGTGGGAGACCTGGGGGTGGGGGCAGGTGGAGGGAAGGAGAGAGGTCAGGAGAGTTGATCCTGAGGATGGCACTCCTTGAGCCGGTGAGGGGGCAAGGATGGGCTGAGGTCTTAGTGCTGGATCCGGAGTCAGCAGAACAGAATTCTAGTCGTAACTCTGATTTTGGGCATACCACCTCCCCTGTCTATGCCTCACTTTCCTCATCTGTAAAATGGAGCTAAATCTTGCTGGGTCCACTCCACAGAATTATCTCAGTGCAGCTCAAAGGAACTGAAAGGAACTTTGCAAGCTGCCAAAGGATATCCAATACAGTCATCACAGCATGTATGGTTTAAGTTAAAATTAATTAAGGTTAGACAAAATGAAAAATTCAGTTCCTCAGTCACACTAGGAACTGGCTCTTGACTTCTGTAACCGATGGTCCAGACAGACCAATTCTATCACTGCAGAAAGTTCTGTTGGAAGAGCACTGGTCGAGATCAGGAGTTGGAAAACTGTGGTCTAGGGGCCCACTGCCTGTTTTTGTAAATAAAGTTTTATTGGAATACAGTCATGTCCATTTGGTAAAGCTCCTTTCACAACACATCGGCAAAGCTGAAGAGTCGAGTGGTTGTGACAGAGACAGTACAGCCCGCAGAGCTTAAACTATTTATATCTGACCTTTCAAGAAAAAGTTTGCTGAACCCTGACCTAAATAATAGTAATAACTGATACTAGTAATTAATAATAGTCAACCTTTTTGGACATGGCTTTACCAGCATCATTCCACTGATGTCTTTAGAGCTCAGAACAGCCACAGCCCAGGTGAGAAGCAGCAGAGCTGAGGTCTGAACCCAGGCCTGTCTGACTGCGGTCACAGCCTTGAGCAGTGTGCCGCCTGCCCCCTTCCCAGCTCACACACCTCCCTCCACTTGGCGTCGCTCTTCTGCTGGATTGTTGCTGGGTCTGGCTGGAAGGTTCCCAGAGGCGCATGCGCTGACGACAGGAGCTGAACACACAGCTGGTACTTGGACCCGCAGTCTGGCCTGGCTGCGAACCTGCAGGCGGAGGGAGGGCCCATTAGGGCCTCGGAGATTGGGGGCAGGGTGGGGGTGGGGCACCTGAGTGGCAGGGCCCCCCCCCAGACCCTCGCCCCAGGCACTCACCAGTCCTTGACCTCGATGTCCGGCCGTGTGGTGTCCATCAGCTCCTCCCAATACCCTTCGGCCTTGAGGTCCACCACCTGGGACTTGAGGCAGGTGCTGGGGGTAGGCGGAGGGGTGGGAGGGGCTGGGGCTCGCCACTAGGGCACTGGGGAGCTAGGACTGACCCTCCCAGAGCAGGAGAGACCCCAGTGTGCAGTGACTTGGTCTTCCCCCAACCCCCCCCCCCCGAACCCCGAGACCCCTTGGATCTTACTAATAAGAAGTCACGAAGTATTTCTTGACCTGGTCATTGGGGAATTCCTTCCTCTGGTCTCCAGCGAGATCTTCCACTTTCCACTCATCGCCTCCATTCACGTCCAGGCTCCAGAACTCAAATCCCTCTGGTGGAAAAGCAGAGTTCACATTAAAGGGAAGTCCCCCAGTAGTCACCTCCCAGGTGCCCCTTGCTCCTGGCACCTCTCCCTGGATTTCAGCAGCTGCCCTCAAGCCCCATGCTGGGGAACACTGCAGACCAACAGTGCTGACTGATTTCTCCTAGGAATTGCAAGACATGTGGTGATGTGAAGGACCAGACCACTTCTGTGATGGAGAATGCTCTGATACTGGCCAGACAGAACTGGGTCGAGTCCCTAGTCTACCAATACTGGGCTCTATGACTTTAGGCAAGCTGGTTTCTCTCTCTCAGACTTGGTTTTGTCCTCTCTAAACTGAGGTCAAGAACAGGGGCCGGCAAAGTTTTTCCATAAAGGGCCAAAATATTCTAGGTTTTGTGGGTTACATATTGACTCTATCAGTTTTTTTTTTTAAATAACCCTTTAAAACCACAAAAGCTATTCTTAGCCCCTGGGCCAGATTTGGTTTATGGACCGCAGTATGCCAACTGCTGGTCAAGAACATGGCTGTTGGGCAGTCGAGTGAGACATGCATCTGGAAGCTCTGGACAGCTTAGAGCTGTTTCATTAACATTTTGCTCCAGCATTTGGCACCATAACAGAGAAGGAGGTTCCCATCCCATCCCAGTGTCTAGCTAATGAGTTACAACATAGCAAGGGAGAAAGGGGGCACTGGATGCCTGTATAAGTCTTGTTTTACCTGCTGTTGTAATGTGCTGGAAAGAAGACTGGATATCTTATTGTTTCATAAGCAAAGGCCCCTTTATCCTCTGGGACAGTCCTAGTAGGCCTGGTGCTGGAGTCTGGGAACTAGGTCAACAAAATATGGCTCTGAATTCCTGGTCTTGTGTCTTGGGCACAATTAGTTCCAACTGGCCAACACTCCCTCTTCTAGTAAAGGTCACTAGGAAAATCATCTTATGATTGAAATAAGAAATGCCACTCTTGGCCTCAGTTTGCCCATCTGAAAAATGGGTGCCTAACAGTACCTACATCTTGGGATTATTGTGAGAAGATGAAAGCATTAAACCCCCTAAAGTGCCTGGCTCATAGTAAGTGCTTCATGGATATTAGCTAGTATCCTGACAGTGTGTGTGCTGGGAACACACCAGCCCCACTCTGCACCCCACCTTCAGCACATGGGTTATGCAGGAGGTTCCTGCGGAGGCTGCGGAGGAAGTAGAAGATCTTCCAGTCGGCCACAGGCTGGTCCCAGTCCTCGGTGATGAAGCCCTCACGCAGGCATTTGCGCTTCCAGAGGGTCACGAGGTCGATGAGGTCACGCCAGAGGCTGCAGACCAGGCGGCATCGCAGCAGCAACTGGCGGGCAGGCACGTGAGTGAACAACTCCAGCAGGATATTCTCAGGCAGCTCGTTGATGTTGCCCACCGCCATGGCTTCTGGTCACCCTCCTGTGGGTGTTGAAAAGCTACACTACAGACCTGGCCCTCTCCCCAGGACCCAGTATTCACAGCATGCCGTGGTGGTGGAGGTCCCCTCCCAGCTCTGCCACTATCTCAGGGCAGTCACTGGGCCTCTCTGAACCTCAGTTTCCTCCTCTGTAAAATGGGGCCAGGAACAGTACTGACCTCCTGCGGAGAGTTCAAGGACCTGAGACACAGCAGGAACTCAACGAGCTCTGATCTTTTTTTTTTAAGTTGGCACCTCATAATAGCCTCTAAGGGAGGCTAAGGAGCCAGGAGAGGTGGCAGGATCTGCTCAAGGTCACACAGACAGGAGCAGAGGGGAAAGGAGCCTGAGCATACTCTGATTGTAGAGCCAGCCTTTTTTAATAGGCCAGGCAGTCTTTAGAGTGGAAATAACAATTCGTAGGCCCTCTGATGCCCTCTCCATTCTCTCTCCTATCCTCAAAACGGAGGAGGGGCAGAATGGGGGTGGGGGTGGGAATAATTATCATTTTCTCCGACAGAGGTCCAAAGGGCTCAAGCGACTTTCTCAAGACCGCGGAGGAAATCTGCCTGGCCTGGACTAGAGAAGCGATGGTCGACGGGGAAAGGCCGTTCCTATACTCCCACCCCCAACCCCTGCGGCTGACTTCCAGCCCCAGGTGCCTCTGTGCGCCTTCGACTTCCCATCCCGCCTTGTGGCGCTCAAATGTCCTCCCAAATCG